GCGCGAAGCGACGGGCCGAGGACGCCGGAGGTGAGGTTCCGCGCCAGCCAGCGCCAGAGCGGGCCAGACGGGCGCGGAGCCGACGGTGCTCGCCATTGTTGAGCACGCGAGAGGGCGCGATGGCGGCGGCGGCTAGCGAGCGCGGCCGTCTGCGGCCGACGAGCGCCAGGCGGTGGGTGACGCCGGCAGACACGAAGACGGCGGGCGCGGGAGAGGAAGCGCAGCGCGAGGACGGGCCGTCTTTGGCGGTGCAGCTCCCGGATGGCCGGCTTGAGGCGGTTGCGTGCACGCACGAGCCGAGGAGCGGGCCCACGATCGCGCTAGCCAGTACAAATACTGCCGCTTGATACCGCAATCCTGTGGGCGGTGCGGGGAAGACGACGACGCGCGCGCACCAAGACGTGGCTTGAGGTGCCTACGCCGGTGGTGGCGCTGCGTCTGCGCGTGCCGCTTTGAGCGGTTCGGCGGATGGTGCTGCCACGCGCGCACCCCACCGGCATCGGCTTTGTCGCGCCGCGCAGTGGCCTACGTGACGCGCCACCGCATGTATATTAATTGGATGGAAAATTCGTCAAGCTCAAGCCACTGCCATCCAATTACTCATACTCACTGGTGCCTTAGGTCCCTATATAGCCCTCGGACGAAACTGCAACGAGGATCATCCACCAGGGCACTCGGACGAAGCGTTGCCATCACCGCCATCCGCCATGAACACCGAACTGAGCTCGGCATGGCGTCGGTGCGAAAAAACAAAAAGGCGAGGAATCGGGCGTGGCGACCAAAGTGACCAAGAAGGAGAGCAGGAATCGGGCGCGAAGCAACGTTCAACGGCGGCGGCGTCGTCTTTTCGGTCTTCGCGTCACGCGCGAACAGAGGGTAAAGGGGGCGAGCAAGGAGAGCAAAGCGGAAGCGACGGTAGGAGCTTCGCTCGACGGCGCGGCTCCGCGGGATTCTCGTCCGTCGCGCCATTGCGGCAAGTCAAGGCGCTGCAAGCGGCTCGGCGATGCTCGGCTCAAAGACGGTGGCGGCGGCAATGAGATCGAGAAATAGCTACGACGGCGTGGCTTCGGCGAGCGCGTGGCGTGAAGTGCTCGGTGGCGAGGGATGGGCGAGCTCGCGCGGCGCCCGGTGACGACCGTGCACGAACGAGCTCGCATGCAACGGCGGTACCAAGGCGAACCGGGGCGATCTGGCGAGCCGGCGCCGAGCCACCCGTGTGGATGCGGTGAATCGGGCGGAAGAAAGCGCTGGCGAGTCGGATGCGGCGAGCCTCGGGCTCCTAGCCATCCCGGCCTTGAAGCGGGCCCAATGGCCGCGACGGCCGGCGGCAAAGTGGGTGCGGCACGGCTCCGGTCCGAGCCATCCTTTCAGCGGGTGGGTGCCCCTCGCCAGTCCGCCCCTCCCGGCGCTCGGCTTTCCAACAGACTGGCGAGAGGAGTCTTCCACATGGGCACCAAGGCCAACAACTCAAAATTCCTGTTTTGACCAAGCGTTAAATCTTGGTCAATGCCAAAGTATGGGTTAAAATCAGGCACACGTCAGCCCAAACCGCCTCAATCGCGCCGAGATGCTAAAACTGAACGGTTTTGAAAGTTTCAGTGACTGGATCAGACGGTTTGTAGTTGAGGGTCAAAATTAGACCAACATGATAGTTGAGGGGTCAAAAGTGGACTTAATCCTTTAACTTTTAACTGTCGTTCTCGCTTCTCGAAAAGTTAAAGCTACTAAAATTTAGCTAAATATATAAAAAATTAATATTTATAGCACATAATTAGTATAATCAAATATTAGATCGTTAAATCTATTTTTATAATATGCTTATTTACGTATACAAATATTGTTAATATTTTTATAAAGCTAGATAAAATAAAAAATATGACCATTAAAAATGCATAGCTTCCCCTCGGGAAAAATAAAAATACCATAGTGATATTTAAAAAAGTACAGAGTAAGTAGTCCTTTCGTCCCAAAATATCTATCGTTTTTTTTGTTTCCGTGCAGTAAGTTTAATTAAATTTATAGAAAATACGTACAATATTTATATCTCTAAATAAATTTATTATAAAAATAGAATCAACCATCTATCTAATAATATTAATATGTATCATAAATATTAATATTTTTTATATAAAATTAGTTAAAATTATTTCTGGGATAATTATCTAAGGAAGGAGGCATTATACGATACTCCAGGTCGCATCATCTGCGGTCCTTGTGTCGCATCGCATCAGTCACATGAGCAGCGGCCGAGAGAGAGAGAGAGCACCAGTGCGCACTGCTTGCCTTGCGCTGCTGCGTGCCAGACTGCCAGTGACCGTGAGGCGTGAGGAGTCGTCTTTCTCTTCCCTGTATGGCTGTACTATACACTATACTACACGTCTACTGTATACCTGTACCAAGGCGAGCAGTAGGGTAGGCCATGCCGTGCCGTGCTACTGTTGCGAAGGTTTGTAGCTGCTCCACCACTTGCCGTCCCCGCCTCACCCTCGTCCACTGTCCGCCAGTTCGCGCCGAATCCTACAAAATTCTACTGGCCCCCAGGTGCTTGAATTCACTTCCCCGCCTACGTCCTACCTACCCAACAAGGGCGTTTTCCCGTTCCGGGACGGCGTTTTTTTTTGGCTCTTTGCCTGTCATGTCCGATTCGCGCCCCCAACAGGCCAACAGTTCGTGTGGAGCTGGGCGCGATTCCTAGCTCAAACGGGAAACTGGAGCCCGGCCGGAGGCTTCCACGATCGACGTGTAGCCCAGGGATTGCCCAAGATTAAGGCCTCGTTCGTTTGGCTGGTTTTGAGGCTGGAAACTGCTCCAGCTAATCTATATTAAGTGCTGGTTTAGTTTCCAAAATTTTACAAAAGAACGGGCCCTAAGGAGAAAAAAGGTACTCAGCCGATTAGGAAAGGGACAAGAGACAAAAGTTGCTTGAAGTCACAAAACTAACATATAAAAACACTAGATTAAAAAAAAAACATCTAAATCTAAAAACACTAATAAGAGTAGCAATAGTGGGGGTTGACAGCTCATGTGGATCTCGGTCGGAATCGGATGGGCGCGCGTGGATGGCCGTGGACCAGGGAGGCAGGGAACACACTCATTCTACAGTATCGATCGGGCATTTGCTTTTTGAACTGTGAAGTGATCATATGTACTAGTACTATGCTGTATGCATGCTAGTAGAAAAAAGAATGTGCCGTGCAAACCTTCCAAGCCGCGCATGCTATATCTTGACCATCGTTAGTTTTGGCCGATGCTTCGCTTTACTTTGTATGTGACGTGAAGCCACGATAAAATTCTGTACGATGTCTAATGTCTTGAACGACGGAAGAATGAAAATAATGGAGTGGTCCATTCTGTTTTATCAAAATTCACATCTATATGTACTTTAATATTAAAGTTCGTCCATTAGTCTCTCAAACATAATACCAAGGGAGAAGTCGTTTCTCATTCCCATGTTTTTTTTCCCTCTCACCAATGGTAACATAGAGTCATAGACCCACCGAAACGAGGAGAAGGGTGCAGAAGTCCGAGGAACGACAGAGGGGTAGATTGTATCTTCCTTCATCCCATACTTCTCACTTTCACGAATGGCAAATGTAGACCCATGGCGTGATGGCAAGGATCACGAGTTCAAGACCACCAGAGGTACATTATATATCTTCTTCCACAAAAATTGCACACACTATAGCTAGCCATCATTTAAGCCGAGTCATTCTTCGGATAATTTCTCATACGAAAACAATTATTGCACCTAGTATTCATTATGGGTGTTGAAAGTTAGAGTTAATTGAAATAATTAAGATTAAGTCAAGCACAAATAAATTCAACAAAGATATCTAACTCAGTTATCTTTGGTAAGGGCATCTCTAGGTAACCACACAACAACTTTTACGTCTCGTTACAATGCACATACATATTTGCTAGTAGAAGTAAAAGAAGACGAAGCTTATTTGGTTGATGAGGAAATATGTGGTGGAAACTGCTTACTACGTGGAAACATGAAAAAACCAATTTAAAAAATGCACTCTTGTGACTTGAATTTTTTTAAAACTTGACACATATGTAGTGCATCTATATATCTATTCACATGCAAAAGTTGGGATGTAAATTCATTTTTGAAAAAGTCATAGATTTCACTTGTATGTGCACTACAAGACAAACAATTGAAATATGACTTTGCATCTCAGCTTTTTGGTGTGAGTTTATGTACGTGTGGATGAAGTACATATGTGTTTCCAAGTTATCCTTATCAGAGAAAAAGCAATGCAAAGAAAACGCGAAGCGCATGGGTCACGTCTACTCCTGTATCGTACTCCGTAGGTGCGTGTGCGTACTTGTAATAATACAGCAGCCACCACTATATATACTCTCTACTCTACAAGCCTACTGTCACTCCTACGTACGAGTACTGTAGGAGATGATCGATGGATCCACTGTACTCAGCCCTCGACACGTCTCTGTCCCTTCATGCACGTCGCAATGCCAGTCCAGCCATGCCCGTGCTCGGTGCTCCTCCTTCCCTGCAACTGCAAAGCTGCTAGGCCTGCAGTACAGCGTGCGACTTGCAAGTGGCAATGGCAACTGGGGAACGAACGACCAACCAACTGCCGGCGGCCACAACGACAAAGCTACCTAGAGGCTAGACAGAGCGTGGAGCAGCTAGAGTAAAGTCACTAGACTATCATGTGTCGCTACTACGAGCACTTGGCCTCATACTCCTACTGTCTTTTGCCACCACCAGCACCCTCGCCGGCTCACCCTCTTTAAAGCAAGCAACGGGCAACGAATAGCTCGGCTCGGCACGCACCGTCTCGCTCGCTCGCTTCGCCTCCGCTCTCAACTGTTACATCCAGCGAGCAGCTCACGGTGCCGAGCTCAGCGAGGTAGAGCTAGCTCGGTTTCCATATTCTCGCAACAACGCCGTGGTCCGTGGTGGCGCGCGGGGGCAGGGTTGCGGCGCCGCGCGTTTGCGAGTTGGGGACGAGGAGGGGAGCGACGACGACATGGGTCGGGGCCGCAGCGAGATAAAGCGGATCGAGAACCCCACGCAGCGGCAGTCCACCTTCTACAAGCGCCGGGACGGCCTCTTCAAGAAGGCCAGGGAGCTCTCCGTTCTGTGCGACGTCGACCTGCTGCTGCTCCTCTTCTCCACCTCCGGCAAGCTCTACCACTACCTCTCGCCCACCGTCCCTCTGTTAAGGACCTGGTCGAGAGGTACGAGGCCGCGACGCACACCAAGGTTTGGACCGACATTCGCCAGGTAATTTTGTTTAAGTGAGTAGAGCACGTGGCAAAGCATGCATGTTCTTATTAGCAGTAATGAACTAATGATGATGCTCTTGCTCGACGACGGCGGCGGCAGGAGCGGCACGCGGAGCTGGAGAAGGCGGAGCAGATGTGCGAGCTCATGGAGAAGGAGCTGCGGTTCATGACGGTGGACGACGGGGAGCAGTACACGGTGCCGTCGCTGGAGCTGCTGGAGCACAACCTGGAGGCGGCCGTGCACAAGGTGCGCTCCGAGAAGGACCGCAAGATCGGCGGCGAGATCAACTACCTCGAGAACATCGTACGTATCGCATCACGCCGACTGCACACCTCTGCTGTGATGATGTTGATGTGCCCTGGCTAGTCTTCCCCTCGATTAGTTAGATTAGATGGTTGATAGCTTCTCTCGATTCTGCTGGCTGCAGATCAGAGGACGCCACGAGGAGCGCTACGGGTTGTGCGACAAGGTGAGCAAATGATCTTTTTGCAAATCTTGTTGTTCAGTCCCTTCTTCCGTGTTCCAATTCCACTATTCGCAAATCGTAACGCACGGCGCACGAGTGCCTCTGCACAAATATGGCATCTTAATTGATATAGCACTGAAATTTTTTTGAGCCAGACGCTCAGAACCCCGATACTGCACTAGCATTGCTGAAATAGGCCCATTCTACTTCTACCGGTAGTCCCCGGATGGCGGCTGGACAGTCCAGCCCAGTTTCTGTTGGATACTACAATTTTAGAAGCACTGTTCATGCCCATAATTTAACTTGGAAACCACCTGTTATTTTCTGCTACTTGGGTAGATGTGTGGCTACCAAATACGTACTCCTTCCTTTTACAATTTACAAAAGAATGCAACTACTTGATTTATTCAATTCAAACTACTTTAACTTGATGAAATTTATAGTAAACAATAGTATAACATTTATGTCTCCAGGTAGATTTGCTATGAAAAAATATATTATTATAATTAATAATTAATTTAATGACACTTGTTCTGTATTATAAATTTTAGTATTTTTTATAAATTTGTTCAACTTTAAATTTGTTTGACTCTTCAAAAAACTCTTGTGGACAGAGGGAGCAGTATAAAGAGGTAGCATGTGAGCTTAACTCTCTTAAGTACATTTCTTTGTCTAAGAACATTTCTTGATTCGTTGCACCGTCCAAACAACCCAACAGATAGTTTATAACAGGAAAAAGAATCTTCCTACCTACGCTTAGGCCTTCTCTATTTTACTTCTAGCCCCAAGTGCCACGTAGGATCGGATAAAAAAATTAGGTGTTTTATACTTGTCACAGTGGCTTGCACAAGCTACGTATGCTTGGGAGAGAGAATGTGGTCTATGCTAAAAAAGAAGAGGGAGAGGAAATAAATGTGATGTATGCTAAAAGAAAAAAGTTTTTTTACAAACCACAAGCAGTGATAGTTTGTATTGTGCGAATAATAGTCTCAACATTTTCTAGTCTATGTGGATTATTTTATTTGTACTAAAATTACTGGGAGTGTTGGTCTTCATTGGTGGCGCCCTTAGCCGTTTATAGCAGATAAACAAACAATCTTTCTGAGCTCGGCTTATTTGGGAATTTTATTCAGCAACTCTTGAGTTCAGCTTTCATCATTTTGGTGACGGTAGGACTTCTCCCATCTTTCCTTTTGAGATGGAGGAGAGTACAACTTGATAGTTGAAACCGAGCCAAGAGTACGTATACAGATTGTAGCAACTATACGAGTCTATCAAAAATAGGCATTTCTTTCATGCTTGCACACTCAAAGAGCATGTTCGGTTGGCTGGTTCGTATCGTTGCTCGTTCGTGAAGAAGTATCGCTGACTGGTTTGTGTGAGAGAAAAATACTGTTCCGGCTAGAAATTTACGATCGTTTACGATAAACCACAGCCAAACGAACAGGCTGAATGCAATGAAATAGGATACTGGTTCCCTACAGAAATGGACGCTCAGCGAAATGGGACGGTGGTTCCCTACGAAAATATAGACACTCACAATGAAGTAGTAGGATGGTGATTTCCAGCGAAAATGGAGTATAGGCAAAGAGAAATAGATGTCCATCCATTCAGAGGAACCATGCGCTACTCATGCTAGTGTCACGAGCACTGCTCCATTAAGGCCGAAAAAGTGACGCAACGGTCGCCAGGCTACAACATGTAGACCCTTCACGCTCTTGCTCATGAAGGTGGATTGGTGGAACAGCTTTCGTCTTTCGCTTTACTACAGACTACAGTGCTACCACAAGCAGCTGCATCATGCTATGTACAGGTAGCCGATGCAGCCTAGGTAAAGTGAACTAACAGCTATCAATTTTGGCTTTGTGAGCACATCAATCAATTTTGTTTCCTTTGTTAATTCTGATTTTTTGTGCGTTTGTCTATAGAAATTTCTATTTTCGCATGTTCTGCATCTAGTGCAGAATTTCTTGAAAATTTTGCTCCCTATGTTAATTTTGCCTTTGTGTACTATAGAAATTTCTATTTTCGTATGTTCTTGCATCTAGTCTCTAATCTGTGCCGAATTTCTTGTATTTTTTTGCCTGCAGCTTGCTCATTCTCAGGCCTCGAACAACAACGGGGAAGGAGGGTCGACCCCACCAAGCAGCGGCCTGGAACTCAAGCTGGGTGGGTACAATCCAATCCTTATGCGGCGGCCTTCTCAACTTCGTTTCAGACCAACTATTTTCAGTAGCAGTACCTAACCTGAAGCTTTCTGCAAACAAGTGCAGGTTTCAACTAACATTGGCTGGAAGCTCGAGGATGGATCGAAGATTATGCTCTGTTTCTTAGTACTGTTTTGAGATTCAAAGTCACGTCCTGCCAGGCTAACCGATTCTGCGATCGATGCCTCTGTACTCCTGTATGCTATGGTTGAGTGGTTGTTGTCCTAGTTGATCAAACAAGTCTCAGCTTGGTGTTAATGTTTTTATTCAGACGGGAGAAATTACCTTTAGCACTTGACTCTTTCTTCGATTCAAATATATCCTTGTTAGTGGCCAAAAGAAAACGCTATAGCCAGGAATGGGGGAAACAGCGCCAAGAATATCGCAGGAAGATAAATTTCTGCGTTTCTGAATCCAAGAGTTATCACGCTAAAACCAGATTGAACCCTGAATCCAAATAGAATATAGAACTAAAAATATGTGCGCATGGTGCTAGGAGCTCAGCAAGAACGTAGCAATATAGAGATCGATAATCACATCTCAAAGATCATACTAAAATGATCTCATCACTGCTCCCAAGATTAAGCAACGAGAAGCAAGGAAGAAGACGAATAGCAACGAGAAACGAGAAAACAAAATCAAACGAAAGAAGAAACATAAACATAGCTTAAACGAATTTGGGGTATCACAATTCACAACCAGTCCGCCGCGCAACGCCTCAGCCGGCACAGGCAGCCCCTCCTGGCCTTTTAACGGCGGCTGTGCTATGGGCGGAGAGGAAACCCTAAGGATGTGTGAAACGGCAACCGTCTGATCATGAGTCGATGAGCAAGATTTTGTTGCTGGCAAGGACTCCACAACTGGGCCAGGCCCAACAATGTTGGTAGAAGATTGGGCCTGTCTGAAAATTCTGGAATTATACTCTGCTCAAAAAAAAAAAAAGTTGAAAAATCTGGAATTATACGGTCCAGCCGCATTGTACAGAGCTATCATGAAAGTGGACCATGTCCAATTATTAGGATAGCTAGCTTTCTTTCTTTCTATTTTTTTTACTTGGGCCCAGGTTGAGCAAAATTCAGCCTATCTAGCGAGAGGAACTTGGCACAGCACGCAGGTGTACAACAAGCTTATGTTCCCCGAGTTCGTTCAATAGTTGTCACTTTCTTCTAAGCATACAATTTTTTTCTAGTTGTATATGTTTTTGTTCAACGAATTTCATGATTTTGTTCCATGTGCATAAATTTTAATGTTCTATGTGAACAATGTTTTTCCCTAACATAGAGTTTTGTTCCACCCAAATAAATTAATTATAGCTAAATAATTCTTCTGTCAATCAAATATAAATTTAGGGAATAGGGAGTGCACAGCCCGAAACGGAACCACGTAGAGAAACAAGCAACCACTCTCTTGCTTATCACAAGACCATTCAAAACACGAGTGCTGGACCTCGCTGTCCTTGAGAGAGCAAGAGAGCCAAACAGGGCCTCTCCCACACTAATTCCAATCCCACGGTCGCTCGCGCGATTCTAATGTGGTGAATGACCCTACCTTGTCCTACTTTTCTTTCCTTTTCCGGTGCATCACAGTGAATGACAGGCCACGCTGTGTTTAACGGACGCAGTGGGGCTATGCTCAAACAAATTTTTTATGCGACATGTACAGATGTGTCTTATTCATTTTCTTTACTTTTACTTTCACGTGTACAACCTTTATAGACTTAGCATTTTCTTTTTTTTCTTATCTTTTTTTTATTTAGTTTTGTTTTATGTGATTTTTTAGTATTCTTTTCATTTTTCATTTTTATCCTTCTTTTAATTATTTTTTTTCAAGCGTTGGCAAGTTATATAGAATAACTTATATACACAAGTTGTATAAAGTAACTTATATACACAAGTTTTGTTTGATTACTTTTTTATATAAGTTGTGCTTCCAAGTTTTGGTATAAGTAATAGTTTTGTATTTTTTTCATTTTTTATGTTTTCTATCCTTCTTTTAAATAATTTTCTTTTAATTTTTTTTGTCAACGTTGGCAAGTTGTATAGCATAACTTATGTACACAAGTTGAATAAAAAACTTATATACACAAGTTGTGTTTGATAACATTTTTAGATAAGTTGTGCTTTATAACTTTTTGTGTTTTCGAGTTTTGTTACAAGTTATAAGTTAATTTGTTCATTTGTGTTTAATAACTTTTGTGTTTCTAAGTTTTTGCATAAGTTATAAGGTAATTCGTTCTTTTGTGTTTAATAACTTTGGTACATATAAGTTATGTTTCATAAATTTTATGTTTCTAAGTTAATATTATAAGTTATACGTTAAAGTTATATGTTATAAGTTATACGTTATAAGTTGATACACATAAATTGCTACTAAAATAAAATTCTTTGAAACATATGTAAGTGTGGTCTAGTTTTGTTCGTCTCGTCGCGTATAACACACCGGTGCAGGCAGAATTAAAAAATAGTACACCGTTATAGCATTTTAAAATAAATATTATGGTTTTTTAGTTTGTGTCAGGGTGATGTCAAAGGTATGGGCTAGGGGTGTCCGTCGTGCGCTCACCAAAAGATTAAACGGAGCGCATAGCAGTATCAAATATGGTAAGATATGGGAATTTATTTATTTTTTCTAAAAGAAGAAATTGTAGATGTTCGAATATCGTTCGCTCATTTCATTGCTAGTGAGCGTTCGCCGATTAGTTCGGTCGCCCTCCCGTCTCAATTATCAAACTAGGAGATGTCCATTCAAAATTCTTCCACAGGAAAATTAACGCGAGGAGAAAAAAAAAACACATCCAAAGGTTGAGGTAGGGGCGGGTTGGGCAGTTTCGAAGAAGAGTTGAAGGTTTGGCCACTAGGCCTAGTGGGCGGTTGCGGCCAGCAGGCTGCAGCGAGCGGACACCCGCTATGCCTGCAAATTATTTTTGTGGGCCGGCTCCGAAACACTGATTGGTAGGAAGTGCAAAGTGAACTAGTCACGCTCCAAAAGGCTGACTCTTTTGAGGGGCTAGGCATAGTTCATCTAGGAAATTTTATAAGGGCCATGAGATTAAGATGCTTGTGTCAGGAATGGAATCATGAAGAAAGGGTGTGGGTTGGTTCAAACACCCCTTGCAACTCAACAGACAGGTTCCTATTTGGAGTAGCAAACATCCATCTTATTGAGAGAAGGCAGGAGGACCTCCTTCTCGAACAATGCTTTGCTACATGGGCAACGACCTCTAGACTTGGCGTCAGACATTTTCAATATCTCCAAAAAAAAGATTTCGGTCCACAAAGCCTAATTTGTTCCGTTTTGGAGCGTCGTAAATCAAACATAGCTACACATTGACCAACTTCAATAGCCTAATTTGAAAAGCCTAGGCACCCTCATAGTGCGAATTCTTCTAAGTGACTAGCTATCAACAGCCTGTTGGCTTATCGTAAACGATCGTAAATTTCCAGCCGGAACAATATTTTTCTCTTACACAAACCAGCCAGCAGTACTTCTTCACGAACCAGCAACGATATAAACCAGCCAACCGAACAGACTGCAAACCGCAGATGGACATCAGATAGGCTTCAAACTAATGGGTGTCTGATAACGATGAACCTTTTTTAGATTGCTGCTTCACTAGGCATATTTTGCAGGGTGCTGCAACTTGGTTGGTGAAAGCTCTAGTTTGGTTTTGGTGAATTGATGAAACCCTAAGTGCTAACCTAGTTCATCAAGTGATCATGAGATAGGTAGCACACTTCAAGTAGAGAAGCAAATGAAGATCATAACATGACAATGGTGATAGCATGGAGATGATCAAGGGCTTAAACTTGAAGAGAAGAAAGAGAAAAACAAAAAGCTCAAGGCAAAGGTATAACTTGTAGGAGCTATTTTATTTTGGTGATCAAGACACTTAGAGAGTGTGATCACATTTAGGTTTGATAGCCGTACTATTAAGAGGGGTGAAACTCGTATCGGAATGCGGTTATCAAAGTGCCACTAGATGCTCTAACTCATTGCATATGCATTTAGGATCTAGTGGAGTGCTAACACCCTTGATAATATTTGTGAAGATATGCTAACACATGTGCACAAGATGTGTGTAGGGTTGAGATGGGATTGGGTCCCTCTCTCCCTCCCGCCGAGCTTGCGAGGCGGGATTCGGCGCTTTCGGGAAAATAAAATGCCTATTTTCTATTGCGTCGGATGCAAATTCTTAGTGGTTGGCACATTGGAGCAAGGGTGGAGAAGATAGAAGTGAGAACAGAGCTGATGCCAGCGTCGGTCCAGTGACCGGACGCTGGATCCAGAAGCACCGGACGCTGACTGCCTGCGTCCGGTCGCGTTAACTGTCGGTACAGTGGCTAGGGTTTACCACCGGACGCTGGCTGTGTCCGGTCGAGGTGGACCGGACGCGTCCGGTCGAGGAAAACCAGGTTTCGACCCTTACTGTACTCGACCGGACGCTGGGGTTCCAGCGTCCGGTCAGTTTTACCGGAGCGTCCGGTCAGCTTCGCAGCCGTTGAAATCTAACGAACAGCGTTTGAAGCTGGTGACGCGTGGCGTCCATCGGGCGACCGGACACTGAGGGCCAGCGTCCGGTCAGTATGACCGGAGCGTCCGGTCAGAGCGCGTTTTACCCAGTGAAGGGGTATAATGGCTCTATTTGATTGGGGCTCTATTTATAGCCCCATGGCCGGCTCAAGGGAGCTCTCTTGCACATTTTCATTGACATAGCAACCTTGTGAGTCTAGCCAAAGTTCTCCCACTCATTTCCATCATAGATTAAACATCTTTGTGAGATTGGGAGAGAATCCAAGTGCATTGCTTGAGTGGTTGCATCTAGAGGCACTTGGTGATTGTGTTTCGCTGCGGATTTCGCTTGTTACTCTTGGTGGTTGCCGCCACCTAGACGGCTTGGAGCAGCAAGGATCGTTGAGTGGAGGAGGTGATTGTCTCCGACTCCGATCGTGGTGATTGTGAGGGGTTCTTGACCTTTCCCCGGCGGAGCGCCAAAAGGTACTCTAGTAAATTGCTTGTGGCTTGTGTGATC